GAGAGAGAGAGGTGTGTGTGTGGCCAGCTCAGCCCACCAGGGGGCGGGGCTGGCTGGCATGTGGTGCTGGGGGATTGAACCGCCGTCCCTGATGCTTTCCTAAGCTTGTTCTAAGTAGGTGCTTTAGACCACTGAGCCATCTCTCCAGCCCCTAAGGAGCTAGTCTTGTTGCATCTTGAAAGGTGCTGAGCAGCTGAGCTGAGCAGGCTTGGGGAAGTGGTTGGCGACAGAAGGGAGGAGCAGCTAGTAGAGGAGGGTGGAGTAGGCTGGTGATGGCGGTAAGGGATGTTGAAGAAACCCAGAAAAATCCCTGTTTTTTCCTCTCCAGGGACCTTTAGTGTGCAATGCTATGAGTGTGAACTCATAAACACCTTCGTTTGTTCAAACATCAAAGTATGTGACTATCACATTAGACGGTGCATGACCGTTTCCATTCGTAAGTATCGCTTTCTCTTTTTGACTCATTATGGGAAAATCTCTACCGGAGAGTTTTAGAGACCAGGGTCTATTTTTCTCTGTACATTCAGCACTGCTACTCCTTCTGGTATGTTCCATATTGAGAGTGTGCTCACAAGCATTTGGTTAGGTCTCTTGACAGTCCGGTTGCAGAACTCTATTTGCAAGGTAAGAAGTTGGTCTACACGTCATTGCTATCTCCACTGGGTGGGAACATGGCTAGACCACAGGCCTAACTTCTCCATGGTCAGGTGTACAAACACCATGGCAGAACTTAGGTGATTCTTCATTGCTCATTTGGTTTCTAGTGATGTGTGGGTCAGGGAAGTTCAGCAAGGTAGGTCCTAGCAATGGTGATAACTGAACATCTCCGAGCAGCGCCTGTCACACAAAGATGGGAGGAAGACCAGGTAAGGCAACAGAGTAGTGCAGAAAAGAAGCATCAGGTGGGCCTGGATCTGATTTCTTTGATCATCAACCTCCCTTGTTTCACTGCCCTTTTTCAGTCCTTCCCACCATCATGCAAAGTATAATGTTATATTTCAAAATTTACCTCCTATAGTATACGGTCTCCATTATCCTGACAAACGCTGATAGATACTTTCACAAAGAATATATAAGAGCTTTTGGCTGAGGCTTGGGAGTGCTTACCTGCTTGGACATTTGTGGCTCTAGAATACTAGCTGATTTGAGGGGCTCTGCTTCATGGAGAGCAAATAACATCCCATGGAAACAGTTTCAATGTCAGAGACTGCTCTCTCTCTCATAGACAACCTCAGAGAGATATTCACAGACACACAGATCCACAGAACAGAAGTGAGAACCCAGGAGAAGTGCAGCACAAATACACCCAAAGGGATTTTTGGTAAAAGTGTAGCATCCATTCATAGAAGAAAATGACCCTGGGCAAGTAAGCACAAGTACAACATTTTATATCTTTAGCCCACTGTAGTGGTGCACAGATGTAACCCCAGCACACTACAGGCTGAGGCAGGAAGACTGCTGTAAGATTGAGGCCAGCCAGGACCACATAATAAGTTCAAGCACATTCTGAACTACTACATTGTGAGACACTGTTGCAATAAATCAAACAAAACTAAAGCAAAGCAAAGCAAACAAGAGCCAGTCTCCACTCCTTGCCCTGCAATGTAGCCATTTGGGCCCTACTGATGAAAACTAGTTAGATACCATTAATCAGAATGCCCCAAATGAGAGAGAGAGAGAGAGAGAGAGAGAGAGAGAGAGAGAGAGAGAGAGAGAGAGAGAGAATGCCAAAGACTTGGGTAGAAGACACAGAGAAACAAAATCATTCATATATGACTGGTGGGACTGAAAATTGTAA